TATCATACTGTTCTGTAAATCCAAACACATTCAGGACCTGGGATGTAGGTTCGTGAATATTATCTATCACTAGCTTAGCTCCCATTCTCTGGTAATCTCGCGCAATCATAATAGGCTAATTTGTGTTTGGAATAGACTTGCGTTGTTATAAAATAAGTCTGTATTTTAATTTACGCTGAAATAATATTTATTGTATCTCCTATTTGGTACAATATGTTATTCAAGATATTGATATTTTTACCGAGTAACAGGTGGCCGAGGTCTCGCTGTTGGCCCAAATAATGCCGGTCAGCCAGCCTTTCCGGGACACCAGGAGGGCCAACCGGTATTGCCTGTCAATCCTGTAGGCGGTAACGCTGGCCAAGATGTGATTGGGGCCGGAGGTGGAGCCGATGAGGCTGCAGTCGTTGCGGTCAATCCAGCTGCTCCCGCGGCAGTGGCCGTGGCCGTTGTTAACCCAGCCGCTGTAGCTGGGGGCCAGCCTGGACCCCAAGGTGGAGCCAATGGTGCTGGAGCAGGACTGGCAGGTGCAGGACCTGTTCCTGTCCACATAGGTGCTGTTGGGGTTGCCGCTCCTGGACCTGTAGGTGGTGGTGGCCCTGCTGCTGTTGCCGCAGCTGCCGCTGTCGCTAACGGGGCCATCCAGCCGCGTCAAGTTGTCCTGCTTGCCGGTGGCGTAGGCATTACCGCATCACCGAATGACTCATGCATCTACTATTATTGCAGGATTCGTATGCGTATACGAATTGATTTTGGTCTAGCTCCTGATGCTTTGGTGAGATAAGCTTAATTTATATTTTAACTATCCATCCAGCATATGCTGATGTATGAGACCCTGCCTCGCCAATCTTTTATTTTAGTTATTAATTTCTGTCATTTTTTTTCATACTCTTCCCCTTATGTTATTTAAATTTATTATCTTAGTTTTTAAATTATAAATAGTCGTGCATTTAATCACTAATTTATTTGCATATCTTCATGTTCTCTTAAATGTACCTAAGGTATTTATTTTTTAGACT